CTGATGTTACAATGGAAAGGTCCATTTGTTGTAAGTGAAGCAGTTAACAAGTTTGACTACAAAGTTAAAGTAGGTGATAGAATTGGGATGTACCACATAAATCTTCTGAAGAAATACGAAGAAAGAGAAGATAGAATTTGTGCGAGTGTAGCTGTGATAGAAGCTGAAAATAATGATGATACTGGGGTAGTTGATGATGAAAATCTTTTAGAACTAGTAGACGCACAGGGTGAAGAGACGTACAGAGATGTTAATGTTAATGATCAATTAACACTTGAACAAAAATCAGAAGTAAATGCGTTGCTTCAAGAATTTGAGGATATTTTTACTGACGTTCCTGGAACTACAGATCTTGAATCTCACAAGATTGAGTTGACTGACAAAACACCAATTCGTGTTAGACAATATACGATACCATATGCAAAAAGGACAACGGTAGAGGATGAAATTAAGAAAATGCTTGAATGTGGTATCATTGAACCAGCAAATTCTGATTATAATTCTCCAATTGTTTTGGTGAAGAAAAAGGATAATACAAACCGCTTTTGTATTGACTTCAGACGACTCAACTCTGTAACAAAGTTTGATACAGAACCAATGGGTAATGTTGAGGATGTGATGGCGAAACTTAAAGAAGATAAGTTCTTCACGAAAATTGATTTGACCAAAGGTTTTTGGCAAATACCAATTGAAGCAAAATCAAGACATCTCACAGCATTTTCTACAACAGAAGGTAGTTACCAATTCAGAAAGATGCCATTTGGAATGGTCAATTCTGGTGCAACATTTAATAGAATGATGCGGAAGTTGCTTTCCGGAGTGAATGATACTGATAACTATGTTGACGATGTGCTTGGACATACGGTTACATGGGAGAGACACATGAAGATGTTGAGACAATTGTTCGAAAGAATACGAAACGCAAATATCACAGTTAAGCCTTCTAAATGTATGATTGGATTTGAAAGTATACCATTTACCGGTCATGTTGTTGGCAAAGGACAAATGCAAATGGAAGATGACAAATTAGTCAAAATTAGAGACGCTATGCGACCAGAGTCAAAGAAGCAACTGAGATCATTTCTTGGTCTAGCTGGATACTACAGAAAATTCATTGCTTCATTTGCAGAAATTGCTTCACCATTGACAAATCTTACGAAGAAAGGACAGCCAAATAAAATCATATGGAAACCAGAACATGAAAAAGCCTTTACGACATTGAAGCAAGTACTGACACGATCACCAATACTACGACTTCCAGACTTTTCAAAGACATTTGTTTTGCAATGTGATGCCTCAGATACCGGAGTTGGGGCTGCACTTCTTCAACAGTTTGATGATGGTCTGCTTCCAATAGCTTACGCGAGTAAGAAATTGCTGAACAGAGAAAGAAACTACTCGGTTATCGAAAGGGAATGTCTTGCAATGGTATTTGGAATAAAGAAATTCAACAAATATTTGTACGGGAAAGAATTTGAGCTGCATACAGACCATGCTCCTTTAACGTATATTCAGAAATGTAAAGTTGAAAGTGGCCGCATAATGAGATGGGCATTATTTCTACAGAACTATAAGTTTAGAATAGTAGCTGTGAAAGGAAAGGACAACGTGTGTGCAGATTACCTAAGTAGACTCGATACTTGAAAAGAGACATTGTAGATTATTCATTTTGTTTGAAAACAGTGGAGTGTTTTCTTGAGTAGGGGGCTGTCAGAATAATCACAGTTTCACTGTAGATAGTTTTTTTTTACAACGAGTCAGCGATACACTGAAGTGTATCATATTTCAATGTACAGTTTCATTTATAAACCTGTTGCTGGGAGTATAAAATATGTATACATGTTTAAATGTCAAATCGTTTCAGCTAGCAAATATGCGCGTTTAGAGAGAGATTTTACATCAGTTAGGAGACACACGCTTATAGTGTGAGGGGTTATTTTTTTATTGGGAAAAGAATTTTGTTGTTTTGAAGAGAATTTTGTTGTTTTGAAGTCAGTTTTGTTGGTTTGTTGAAGTGGTTGAATATAATTGTGGTGATCTTAATTGATCAGGGTTTATTGGTTGTAATTAGTTGTTTTGGTTGTTGAGTTATAGCTGTTTGTGAAGATATAATTGGTTGATATTGGTTGAATGTTTGTCTGGTCAAGATTATATTAGTTGCTGCTTTGTTTTGAGGATATATGTAAATATTGGGTGCTTTAGTTTAAGTTGTTTTCTGATGCTGATTAGATTGTGTGAAGTTAATATTGTTGGATGAATGTTTGTGGTTTATACCGTATCTTAGAGTTGTAAAAATATTCATTTTTTTGTGTTCTTCATTTTGTGGTGATTTTATTGTTGTTTGATCATAAGTTGTTAGAGCTTGGGCTCGCCAGGTGCCTTGTTTCGTATAAAAGACGTATACGTGAAAAGATATTTCATATAAGTGGCTGATAAATGATGTGTGTTTGTTATGGGTGTAAATAATGATCAGAGTTCTTTGTTTTGGGTGTAAATAATAATCAGAGTTTGTTGTTTACATGTATATATTGATTTGAGATAGAAAAGGATAAAAATACCTAAAAAAAGATAGTGTTAACTAAACAATTACATGCTAGTTTTCCAACTGAGAATATTTCACTTTTATGTCAGGCGGTGCTGCCCAGCCTCCATATCTTGGAAATTGGTTCTAGTATTTATTACTAAATCTTTTCTTAGATTAAATAACATCAAGGCAGACATTTCTCCTGACAACATGGCGGGGGCATAAAAAGACGAATTGGTGAACAGTTGAAACCAGCTGTGTTGAACTGTTGAAGCATTTCAAATACCGAGAGCAGTTTTAATAAGCGATGTTTCCACGTCAAATTTTAAACTTTAAATGCGCAGCCTTTACAATGTACGCACGAAAAACTCGTGTTTGGTAAACTTACGAAAACCAGTTTTATCGGAATGGTTTACCGTTTCACACGGATGGGTTTTGAGGCAATTACACATATGCACCCGTCAAAAATTAAACGGGATTTATTTCTCAAAAGAAGATAAATCTACTTATAAAATTAACTGACTTACCAACTGCGTAGATGTTGGTGTATACCACAGGCGCTAGTCACATAATCAAATATTTTACATAACCGGTCTATATATGTATATAAAGATATAAGGCCCCCAACGGAACAAAAACATCATGCGGATCAAGATCACGGTTATCTCTTTCTGGTCGCCATCTGAAAGCATCAATCCAAGTGCCAACGCTTTTTATTTCATCAAAATCCCTCAAATAGCAAAGAAATTGGGAAAAGTTTCGCAAAATGCCATTATTTTCAATTCATGTCGTTTTCGACGTCCATACCATTCATGTATACAAACACGATTTCTGGTCGATTTTTACGAAATAAACAAAAAACGGCTAGAATTTCCACGTACGTTCCATAAACAAACTCTTTTCCTATCGATCTGCGAAGTCTTAACTGATCAAAAGCCCTTTTCTTACGTAATTCATTAAAAAATACACAAGGATCCCGCTTGTGACAGTATTCTATCGCCATGTATAGCGCATGTATATACTGTTCCGCTCTGAATATTATACAAGGATTTGATTGGTTAAGATGATTATCGGAATACTATTGACCAATCGTATAATACTATTTCTTTGCTTCATTTACCTGTCACTTCAAAATCAAAATGGCGCACTTTACTTGACCTCCGCTTCTACAACAAATATTCTTTAAATATTTGGGTACAAAGAGGGCTCTAGTTCAATTTAGACTTCGCAGATTGATAGAAAAAGAGTTTGTTTATGAAATTTATGAGGAAATTTTAGACGTTTTCTGTTTATTTCGTAGGAATCGACCAGAAATCGTGTTTGTATACATGAATAGATTGGACGTCGAAAACGACATGGATTGAAAATATTGGCATTTTGTGAAGCTTTTACTCAATTCTTTGCTATTTGAAGAATTTTAATGAATTAAAAAGCGTTAACGCTTGGATTGATCCTTTCGAATGTCGACCAAAAAGAGATAACCGTGATCTGGTCGTTTCTTGCAGCAGTGTTCTATTTTGTTCAGCGTGATGTTTGTGTTTTGTTGGAGACCTAATATCTTATTATAGTATATAGCCCATATAAAACTTCAAAAAGTTTGTTTCAAGCACCTGTGGTGTATACTTACCGAAACACAACAGGTTTGTTTAGAAACATGTTCCATTTTTCAAGATTAATAACCCTACAAGAAATTACTATGTCATTGTTATGCAAGCTATGCTAACATTTCTATATGACTTTACATGGAAAACTAGGAGCTTACATAATTATGCAAGTTATCCAGTTTTACTTAAGCCGAGTATCTTTTTATCGTTTTCAAAATATAAAACGATAAAATAATATATAAATAATATATAAAATAATGAAAGAAAAATATCACTAGGCAGTAGGCATACTTATAGAGCAGCTATATATAGCCATTTACACAAATTCTGTTCAAAGAGAAGTAATGAGCAATTAAGCAATAGCACACATGCCGTTGTTTAATATATAGAAATGTGTAATGAACTCTGAAAGGAAAGGGGAGTGTGTTTTTCAAAAAAATCAACATGGGAGAAAAAATGTGTTTTTTTAAAAGGGAAAACATGCCATCAAAGATTTTTTTTTTGAAACTGGGGGGTTTTTTTTCCCCTTGATTTTTTTCCCGGTAAAGAACCTTATTAAAAAACCCTAAAATTTCAAGAATAAATAAATAAATAAAGATAAAAATAAAAAAAAACCGTAGGGTCGGCGCTAAAAAAACAGGGTCGGTCAGGTTACCTGAACTACACATATTTTTTGGCCTAAGCAAATCAATGAATAAGGATGCAGTCAACATACATGAATTAGTAACATTCAGATATAAACTTGTCATTAAGATACATATATACATATATGCTTTTGGTCGATATTCCCCTCCATAGCATAGATCTAGTATTACTGCTTTTGATCAGAAAGTGTCTCGCCAGCCTATAAATTGATGACACTATTTGACAGACAGCAGTAGGAGATGTGGTGCTGGTAGAGAAACACAATAATACATTGGATAAAATAACACAGTTTATACCTTTCTCAGGTATTACGCATTTTATTTATTTTAGCTCATTTTTATCAATGCTTATTATTTTTAGAAAAAAAGAACGAAAGTTAAAAATGCATGCTTTAAAACACAAAAATTGAAGTCAAACGAAAAGATATGGGATTTTCAAACTGAGCCGACAAACTCTCATATAGCCATATAGCTCTCTTGTTTTGCTGATATTTTTTCTTGATTTCTTTTTCTCAATATTGTTTGGAGTTCTGATGATAACTCCTCAGTGTTTAAAGATAACTTATGTTTTGTCGGTCTGTTTCTAATGCTATATGAATAATCTCTATTTTTCTTTTCTTTTTTTTTCTTTGCTTAGTTATTTTATCATACAGTTCAAGCAAGATGTCTATGATATAATTATACAAGATGGAAGAAATTTTGAAATGTTTTTATTTCTTGAAGAATATTGAAAAATTAAATATCTTAGCGGCAAAGATAAATCTAACTTGTCAGTGGAAGCTGTCTTGTACAGTTTATGTCCTTACTCTTCTTTGCTGAATGGTTTGTTAAAGGCAATTATTCCTCTGAAAGAAAGAAAATTTTCCTTATTTTGAAAGGGAAAACATAAAGTTTAAAATGTTTAAATAATGGTTTTAGAGCATGTAAGATGCTTATTATCTGAAGAAAGTAGCGCTTTATGTGAAATTATTTGTTTTAAAGGTAGAAAAATTTAAAATATTAATAAAAAAAAAATAATAAAGTTTTTTATTTTTCTTTCAGGTTGGTCAACTACTACGTCACAATGTTACTCAACCCATCACATCTCTCATATATTGTCTTGTCGCCGGTTTTATCAGCAGTGTTTGCATTGCTGAACATTGTGACCATTTACATATTCTGTCGACATTTGCGCCTTTCAACCCTCTCGCTGATTGTCATGGTCAACATCTGTGCATGTGACGTATTTGTTTGCGTCATTTCCAACACGTTCTACATTATAAATCTTCTACATCCGGTATACGCATGGTCGACAGGTGGCGCTAGCTGCAAGATATTCAAATTCGTAACGATGCTCACCAATATTGCGCAGATCTACTTTCTATGTATACTAAATGCCGACCGAATCCGTCGTCTTGTTCACAATACCTCGAAGCAATGGAAGAAACGGGAAGGTGTATTATTTGTGTCTGTTGCTTGGATAGCGGCGACAATCATATGTTTGCCACGCCTTGTTCTCTTTGACGAAAAAAGCATTTCAAAATTTTCACCCAAAGAAAATGCAACAATAGTTGTATCTTTTAACTGCAAGCCAACTGGAATGAATCCAACCATGTATGCTGTCGTCACGGTCGCAACATTTGTTGTTGCTTATGCACTCCCGGCAACGTACATCTTGTTTTCTTTAATACGATCACAGGTTTTCATGTGGAGCAGACGAAAACAAATACACATCTCAACCACATCAAATGCAGTGATCAGAATGCATCACAAGCTTGCACTCACGTTTAATCTGACGGGCGCTTTGTTTCTGGCAATCTGGACGCCATTTTTCGTCCTGTCATTAGTCGACCTGTCCCATGACCTCTTGAATACCGAGGAAAGCAGAAATGTTAACTTTGCATTACGTTGTACACTTCTCATTTTAGGAAGTGCCAAACCTCTGATATATATTGTTTGCTTGGACAGATTCAGGAACTGTTTTACATTTGGTTTGACAAATAGAAGCATAGAGGGCAGCACTTGGTCAGGTAGTCATACGGACAACACGAGTTTGACAAAGAAAAATACAAACAGCAACGACAGTCCGAATGTCATCAAAACCGAATCAACAGTTTGATTTGTATTTTATTGTATCATATTCAGGCATGTATGGTGAAAAAAAGAGATATTATTTTGTTTCTTTATCATTTGTATGCATTGTGTGTTAATAGTTTGTTATGCACATAATATATTAAACGACAATTCAGATTTTTTTTTTGACGAATTATCATAATTGCCGTATTGGCATATCTTAAAAAGACTGGCAAAAAGTATTGAAAAGTAGGCAATTTTGTGGAAATAATCTTGATTAGGGATAAGGAATAATGTCTTCGCAGCCGTATACGGCTATTCTTTTTTTCAGTTTGGTTAAATAAAAAAAAATATATTGGCCAGTTTACTTACCGCGTTTAAAATCCAGTCCGGTATTCGCCATTTACTGCACAGTTCTGTGTTACTTTTTTGCACGAACCGTGCGTTATTTTCACATTCCGGCGTTATGGAAACGCGCAATTACCAATTTAGATGTATATTTCTAAGCTCTCGGACTTATCATACTTATTAAGTTATTATATATGCCTCAACCTGCGGGCTCCCGCTTTAAATACGTCCTCGTACTTCTGCAGATGTTAAATGCACGAAAAAAGGTAGATTCACCCGCTATTCAAAACACAATTTATTCTATTTTATCCTAAAATGGAAGCTGGGCAAGTTCATTTATAAAATAAAGCGGTCTAAAGGTCAATCTATGGATATAATACGTAACAGTGACCTATACACTTTCCCAAGTTTTATGCTGTTTAAGAAAGATAGCAGCGATTTATTTCATTTATTACTTTTTGTGTGCTTTTCTTTACTTTACATCTTATAATATTAGTCTTATAAATATGTAAGCAAATGTTGATAGATCTCACAAATACTTCATTCATTTATGTGTTTATTTATTTTCTTTCCGGTTAGATTTATAAATTCCCTTGCTGTTTTTTTGTTGTCCGTTTCAAATTCCTTATTTCGGACTGATTGTAAAAGGACATTTAGTATTTTTTTGTATATGGCATGCATTTATATTACGCAAATTGTGCTCGTAAAATTTATAGAATTATTTACAAATGTCACAAACATGTATAAATGATTTCCTGTGTATGTAGTCATAAACTATAACTGTTCAAGTTTGAGAAATAAATTCTTTGTTCTGTTTAACATCAGCCTTGATATGATATTATTTTTTTTATCTAGTTATAACACTGATTTGAGCCGCGTCACGACAAAACCAAAATAATGGGTTTGCGACCAGCATGGATCCAGACCAGCCTGCGCATCCGCGCAGTCTGATCAGGATCCATGCTGTTCGCTGTCAGTTTCTCCACCTGTAATAGAGTTGATAAGCGAACAGCATGGATCCATGCTGGTCGCAAACCCATTATGTTGGTTTTGTCGTGACGCGGCTCATTTTAACATAGCTTGGTCATATATCGGCGGTCAGTCCATCTAGCCGGCTTCCTTGGATAACTAACCAGTAAATACAATTTCTCCACAAGTGACCAGCTACAAAGCCTTTTTATATTGCTTTCTTTTTTTCAAGATCCTTCAAATTTTCGCATTTTCATGTAAACTATGTGTTATTTGAGAAGAACTTAATGGAAAAGCTGGCGTGGGTTCGATCCCCGGGAGATGCTTTGGTAGTCTAGCGCGGAGGAAGGTAGTCTAGTACTGGTTTAACTCACCAGGAACGATGGTTAGGAAACTACCCGCCTATATGACTGAAATACTGTTGGAAAAAGGCGTAAAATGAAACAAACAAACAAACAAAATAATAGAAAAGCCGTATATAGGATAATTGTTGTCTCAAAATATAGTTTACCCACATCATTATTGTTGATATAAAGAATCTAACGTGGTTGCTTTGACACTAACAAAGCATCACATAAATCTGTAGTATTGACACATATATTCAACCAAGTATTCCATTTAACAATCAAAGCACCGAAGTACAAATGGGCTGGTAATATTTCACGCGTGTATGTCTTTTATCCGTTACATTATAATTGACTGTTAATACAGTCTACGCTGCTATTAGGAAATGATTTAGATTCAGGGAATATGTGTAAATATTATAAGTCTGGCATAAGTATGATTATGTAAATGACCCAGATAATAATTTCTTTATAAAAAATATGTTTCTCTATAGACTGTTCTCACGTTTTTAGAAGGGGGGGGGTAACTTTCGGAAAAAATGATCTGCACACTCCGTACAATATATGTTTGGCACTATTAGATAATTTATATCATTTATTTATTTCTAAATTTCAATAACGTATTAAAAATATAATAATGTGAAGTTTGAAATTAAAATATAGTTGTAACATTTTTATTGCTATCTAGTTGCGAACGTACCCGAGGTAATTTTTGTACTGTAACTTGATTTAACGATTAAGGGTTTATTTGTATAACGCGATTTTACGTATCTATCTCCCAGTGTCCAATGGGGGGTTTGTCCTTGATAGTCTGGTATATAAAGCCGCTGCTTAATTTGTACGTGATCTGTTGACAGTTAACTAGGAAATGACAATTGTATAATGCTATAATAGTCATTAGTACTGCTTGCATAATAAGATTGAGTGATACTGACGCCTGGCTGTTATTCAAACAATATATTCATGCGAAAAATTCTGATCTCCAGTTGATGCTATAAATGAATGTTTGAATCACAAAAGTAATTATTTTTCAATTAATATGCAGTGTTTCGCGTGACAGTAAGAATTCCTATCGTTTGATGGAACATTAACATTCGTGACGAGTTTAGATACTATAATCTTTTTTTGCGAAAGGTTTTATTTGATATGCACGTTTATAAAATATAACATCTTATCAAGCTTTTTGTACGCCTCAATATTATTTGAAGGAATGGAATATTGAATGAGTTCATTTTGATCTAATGCGGGTTAGCCTATGAATTAAGAAAGTTGTTTGTTTGTTTGGTTTTACGGCGCACAAACACAGTTAAGGTCATATGTTGCCGAAACATGGGAAATGATTTCGGCTATGATCGGGTTAACAACACTAGAGGTCAAAACCCATTCACCTGCTGGAGCTAAAAGATGTTTAGACTCCAGTAATTCGGATCTCTTACGATCACGCACGGATAAAGGCTGGCTGCAATTCTTATGCCTTAATCATTAAAGGCAACCACTCAGCCACAAGTGGAAAGAATGTTGTAATGCTTTCAGATATAGATAAAACGAATTTCAAATGAAATAAAACTCCATAAAATACGTTTATAATCTTTACTAAAAGCAATGCCTAAAATAGAACGTTTACAAATTGTATACTCTATATACATATTTTTTATTGAAAACAATGCTAAAAATAGAACGTTTACTAATTGTATACTATATATACATGTTGTATATCTACAAAAATGTCAGATATAAAACCCCTGTCTAATTGTATTCATTGTATAATCAATATACATTCGTCAAATATGGCACGAGACTAACAACACATGAATTTATATTACCAATGACCAGCATTTACAAAAATTAAAAAAATGACTAGAGTTTTTTTCCGACTTCATAATTCATAAAATGTAATGCACAAGCAGCATTTTAAACTTCCATATTGTCATCACTGTAGTCCACTATAAGTAGTTGTGTGTATATTTGATCCATCACTAACTAAACAGTCATTATGCATGTTGTATTTCTTTTCAATGTCCACGTTGCACTAAGAAAAAAGTTGTCATGTTCGTAAAATATGATGCTCTCCTTGCACTTACACCCTTGTAAATTCTTCTTATATCTTGTCCAGTTTTTTTTATTTCCATTGTTTTCGGCAGCTGATTCATGGTGCACAACATTCCGTTTTTCTGCATAAGCTTTTATGATGTCTCGTCTCACAGCCACATTGCCGATATTTACCCTGCCTTAAAAACGAATTAGGGAGTTCAGTTTTACCACGTCCAAGGGGTCCTTTCCGCTCTTTTCTGCTCCAGATATTAAAGAAAGGAGACATCGTTGTTCCTGTAAGTACCCTCTCATAGTCCTTTTTATACAGTTCAGCATCACTTCCGCACTTTATGCTTCCGTTTCTGGACAACTGTCCGTTTCGCTGATCAGTTTTCGAAATGATTTCCTTTTCAATACCCAGTGCTGAAGATGGGCGAGTAATTTCACGTGTAAATGAATTATTGCGTCTTCCAATACGAGAATCACTTTTTGAAGACATGGATGAAGATGGTCTGCCATAGCAAGATTCAACGGTCAAACTGTTTCCAAAACTCATGTTTTCCTTTTGGCACATATTTTTATATTCAATTATGTTGTCTGCTTCAAAACCCAGTTTGCTTTATTGCCTACTAAACACTAAAACTGCGTTTATATACGGAAACACGTTGGAAAGATTCCATAAACTGTGACGCCATAAATGATGCAAATCTTAAGATCAAAATTTAAAATCTAAGTATATCTTAATACAATGATATGTTCCAGTTTGGAACCTTAGTTCGATATAGTAAATGATAATAGTTGACATAGGTGCAATCTATTGTTTTAATTCAGTCAGACCATATCATACTACACACATCCAGTACCTTTTACAAATTGATCATTGCTACGTACTTGAGATCACGCCCTCTCTGTCTAAATAAAGACAGTTTACATTAATTACAATGACCGTTAATGGCAGATGATTGGTTACGCGTAATCAAACACCAAACTTGTATCAATCTGAGGAATCAAAACAAGACGCCGTCGTGTACGTCACAGAGGTTAATATACAGTATACCTCTTATATTAATAAATGGTCTGTAGGCGTTTAAATAGCAAAATCATTTTATATAGTATATGAAATGTTAGTACATGTGTATATACTTTTTCAGTACATATAAGAAAAAGAATTCTGATCAGTACATATAAGAAAAAGAATTCTGATGAAAACGTAAAAAAAATACAAGACATTCACCATCAAAGAAAATATCAAAAAGGATTATATGGTGGCTGATTTGCGCCATGTCGTATTTTTGCTCCGCGGAACAAGGCGAAAAGGACACGACAAATTGTCCACTTTGTCCTATTATCGTAT